GGCCCAGGTTCCTAAGGTACTCCTCCTTTTGCTTGCCTGCCTTACCGAATTCTCCCAAGCATTGGTGGATTTGTTGTTTTGTTGTTGTTGTGTTTGTTTTGTTACAGGGTACTACATACCCCAGCTACTTAACATGGTTGTTAATGTGTCACAGTCAAGAGAAGATGAAGAACATGTTTTCCAACGTTTCTTAATATTTCTGTTAGTTTCATTTTGTTTGTGAAACAGGATATTTGCAGAATGGCCTTGAATCATTGTGTAGTTAAGGGTTGCTTTGACTCCTGCTTCTGACTCCGCCTCCCAAGTGTTGGGATTAAGATTAGGGTGTGGCATCATATCCATTTACTATGTTCATAAAGAAATTGTACGCACAAGAACCCCATTTTGTAGTTTGTTTCATTCATTCATCCCTTTCTTCATGTATTTATGTGTTTGTTAACTGGAGAACAGATCCTATCTACCACAGTGGGCAACTGTGGGAACTAGCTTCCTCCCACCATGTATGTAGGTCCCAGAGATGGAACTCAAGTTGTGACGTTGTAGGAAATACACCAACCCACAAGCCCCTCAAAGAAAATTTCAGGGGATAAGAAATCTAGTCAGGATAGGTAAGTCCCAATAATGTGGCTTACATTTTTAAATTTTTGTAAATTTGGATGGGGGTGTTTATATCAAGTCTCTTTAAATAGAAATGGCTTCATGCAATTTTTACAGAAATAAACAAACTGCTACCACTATAAAAAGCAGCCACAGTTTGCTAAAATTGTGTATCAGAAGTATCAGAAGAGGTGTTGTGTACTTAGTAAAGAAATTCAGAAACATTTAAGTTGTTACTTAAGAGTCTCACTCCTCAGCAGCTCCATCACCATGATGGAAGACGGCGGGCGCTGTCTTAGAGAAGCCTGCCACTGCTCATACACTTTCCATCTTATGTACCCATTCTTTTAGAAATGCAAAGGACAAGGGACCTTACATAAAGCCCTGCTCAAGTAACCCTGCACATAACAAGGATGGTTTCACGGGAGAATACACCCAAGCAGCACTTCTAGATTACTGTCTTCAGCCTCAGCTAGGAGCTCACTCTGCTCACCCCCCCCCAAAATATACGCAAAGTAAGGGGCCCATGACTCTCAGACTGCCTAAACCAGCAGTTCCAAGGATACTCACCTCATGACAGTTTTCAGGGCATTGGTCTAAAAGGACTAGAGTTTCTGAGTTAGCTTCTAGATGACCAAGTATTTTACTGTAAAACGGTACTGAACACACAAGACCAACATCAGGAATACGCTTAGTGATGACCAAGGCAGGTTAAAATGTCTGAAATTCAAAGACTCAATCTAGTTATATTCTTAGCTCTTAAGAGACCCAGAAAACACTGTATTGTTTGTCAAATCAACCAAGCCAGTAATGAGTTTTACTCATGTTAAAAATGGAGCATAGAATGGGCTGGGCAGTGAGAGAATAGGAGTAGACACTGTAATGAGCTCTACCAGGACGTAAAAGGTTGTAAAGAAGATGGAGCCTTTAAAAACTGACGGGTCATCGGACTACACAGTCTCACACCAGCTGACCATGGAGAACTCATTTCTTGTCCAACTGGAAAGCAGATAAGTGTATGTCATAGTTTCTGTCAACCTGACGTACACTCAAACATAACTTGGTAAGAAAGAATCTCACTGAGGATGTGCTTCCACTGGATCAGTCTTTTGGAATTTTCTTGTTTGCTAAGCAATACTGGAGAGTCTAGTCCATTGTAGGCAGTGCCATCCTTGGGCAGGCAGGTGTGCACCTTTCTTGGTAGCTAAACAAGCCAGAGGAAGCAAGCCAGCAAGTATCACTCCCTGGTGGTCTCTGCATCAGTTCCTGACTCCAAGTTCCTGTCTTGAGTTACTGCCTTGACTTTCCTCAATGATGGCCTATAACACACAAAGTTAAACAAACTTCTTCCTCCCCAAATTGCTTTTCATAATAGTGTTTAATACAGCCAACAGAAAGCAAAGTAGAACAATCAGTGCAGAAAATATTTTTGACATGTATTCCAAAACAGGCAATTTGATTTCAAGACAAAAAAATATTTTCCTGTCTTTAAAATCAATCTAAGGAAGGAATCTAATACTAGTAACAAAAATTAATCCCACTTTTCCTAGTTCCTGATAGGAAATGTGCTGGGGGAGGGGAATGGCAAAGGGGGAGCAATGGAATAAAGAGGACTATTTCTTCAAAAGAAGCTTCTGAAGCTGGAGCAATGGCTCCCGGGTAAACAGATTACCCAAACCTACATAAAAGCCAGATACAGCAGCACACACCTGTAACCCTGTCCTCCTGTGTTGAGATGGACGGTGGGAACAATCGCCTGGAGTACAAAACACACTGGGAGGATCGAGAGAAACCGGTCTTAAAACAAAGTAGAAGGCAAGAAGCAACTGTGTGAAGTTGTTCTCTAACCTCTAGGTACATACACACTGTGGTAGACGTGTACATACACACGCGCGCGCACGCACGCACGCGCGCGCACGTGTGTGTGTGTGTGTGTGTGTGTGTGTGTGTGTGTGTGAATGAGAGAGGGAGAGGGAGGGAGGGACGGAGAGAGAGAAAAAAAGGGGGGGGGGCAGGCACACAGACACAGAGACACAGAGACAGACTTGGCCTTGCTATGACTCCTCTGGAGTTGGTATGTCTCCTAGGCTGTGTTTTGTAACATGAGAACTCTGGCCTTTGCTTTCCACTCATTGAGGATGTTACTAACACAGAGAGAAGCTAAGCCATAACTGACTGGCTTACTGACAGGAAGAAAAATTCAAAGAGCCAAAAGTTATATATCTACTTCCTGTCTTATTTTGCTCAGTGACTACATCTTGGTCTCTAGAGTGACAGAGCCTTGAACTGGAGCCTGGGCAACTTCATTTACTACACTGTAGAAAGCTAAAGAAGTTCTCAGTGTCTCTGCTGCCTAACTGAACAATAAAATGGGGACAGTAATAACTCCTGACTTTCAAAACTAATGTGAGGACTATATGACAGTACCTGATATTTAGTAAATTCTCAATAAACGACTCATCATACTCCACTTAAACCCAATCAGTAAGTGTGACTTCATTTTAATAGTCAACAAAACACACTTTAGAATAACCTGGGAGTCTCAATAAGGCATTGTCTAGATCGGGTTGGTCTGTAAGCACGTCTATGGGGATTTTCTTAGTTACATTCATAGCTGTGGTAAGACAGCCTAGAAGTAAGAAGCACCTGGTTTGAGCCTGGAGGAAAGTGCACTGAGCCAGCATGCATGCATTAGCCTTGGCTTGCCTGTGACAGACTGCAGCCTGGAAATGGCAGCTAGAATAAATCCTTTTCCCCTGCATTGTTTCGTCAGGAATGAAACCAGGTCACAGCTATTACAAGACTGTGGCCAGGGCGTGCAAAGTTCACCACAGTGCATTGAGAGTGACGAAAGGACAGGCATGATGTCTCATTTTCTCAGCTCACACTCACCCATCCAGTCACACACAGACTTGCAACTTTGCCTCATGCTGCTTTGCTGAGGCTTTCCCTGGGTAATTCTCAAGAAACTACAATACTTAAATATATGATACTTATTGATATGTCTCTTATCTCCAAAATGAAAGAAAACAGAAGACCCTTCCATACAGTCTCTGTGTACTCCTAGTACCCGAAAAACATTGGAAGACCACCCCTAAGTTTTTGTTAAATGAATAAATCATCAAAATCTAATAAACATATGAAAAGAGTTAGGTACTTTCACCTTATGTCTGACATTTTATCATTGCACAGAAATTTCAATTAGCTATTGAGTTACATAAAAACCACACTATTTTTCTACTACATATTAAAGAGATAAATGTTTACCTAATGATATACAAAACAGTATGTTAAAGAGCAGACCATCTAGCCTGCACGGTGGCTCATGCTCATGACACCAGCATTCAGCACGCTGAGACATAAAGACAGAGTTGAGTTCCAGGCCATCTTAGCTACAGAGTAAGACCCCGTCTCAAAATAAAACCAAACATGTCAACAGACTTGCCGCACAGCTGGTAGTGCATTGCAGCAGAATGGCCACCTTCACACTTCTCTCTAATGGCAACAAAGATGCAAGAAAGCTTTTGATTAAAAAAGGCTGCTTGTATCTATTAGTGTGACCAAGAATCCCACTCCACAAATCCTGCACATACTATGAGACCACATCTAAATAACTCTGGGACAGGTACTTAACTAAGCAGTAGCACAGAGAAATACAAACAACTTGCCTCATCCACCCTCTCCATGTCCACAACAGCTTAGTCTTGAATAGCAACATAAAACCCGCAGGTCTAGCATTTTCACTGTTCGCATTCATCATCATTCTCAATTCCAACGAAATATAAAACCCAGACTACACACACACACACACACACACACACACCACCTCCTAAACACTGTAAATTAATTTCAAAGAAACATCTTTTTACAATGCTTAGAAATATTGAAAGAAGTCAGTCTATTAAATCAGTCACTTAGAAAATTTAAGATACTTGCTTTAAAAATGAGACTAAAAAATTTAACATATTGATGATCACGTTAGTGATCTCTCAAAATACTTGCTTGTAAATCATTAACACTAAATGGACACACACACCATTATCTTTCATGATACACTATGCCATATAAAGAAAAGACATTAAGGATGCTATTGCGATAGTATTCCAAATCATTCAATAGTCCACAAGATAATTAGTGTGAATGATAATTTTACTTAGCTTAAGAAACAGCTATTTGAGGAAAGTTTCCTCCTTTGTTACTTAAAATATGTAATTTAGATTATTATGGAACTATTTCAAAATAATTTATTGTGATTGGACATTAAAACCTGGGCTTAACTACAATGATTTATTTATTAAGATACGAGCTGAGACTGGTGGTCTTAAGCAGTGCGCCTTATTAGACTCCTCCCTCCCTCCAACTGATGGTGATGTCAATGAGCTTAGAGAAGACGCAGCACTCACCGGTATGGATCTTCTCGTGTCTCTGAAGCAGGTACTTCTGTATGAAACGCATGTCACATTGACTACATTGAAACGGTTTTTCTCCTTAAAATAATTTGATATCCATACATTAGTTAATGAATAAACAACACTTTATGTTATTACTTCTGAGGATATATAAATCTTAGAAGCCCAAATTTTGGAAAATTCTAAAACACCATATGATTTTTAAAAACACTTTTCATTAACCGTTATACTTTCCCTTTAAAGTGTCCTCCAGGATTTAAAGCTTCACATTTTCACAATCACACAAAAATAAAATTCCATTTATATCCTTTTAATAAGAAAGAAAACAAAGCTTAAAAAATATACGAGCAAAGAAAGCACTCTCCAGATGTCCTGGTGTTCCCTATCTGAAGGCATGTGCATCCTGTTCTCTGGCTAAGCATCCCTCTCTGCCCTCTACCCTGTTCTCTTAAGCACTATCTCTGTGGGAGCCCACCTTCATTCCCCAGTGCTGTGCTCTGCCGTGGGAAGCCCTGCCTCTAAGCTGGCACCTTCCTCCTTCCTCCCTCTACACCTTACAAGGGCAGTCTCAAGTCTCAAGTGCTTCCCCACTGTGGCTTGAGCCTTATAGAAGTCATCCCCTCTGTTCCACAGACTGCAGCCATCCTCTACCCAGAGGCCTCCTTAAATCCTCTCTCTGTCAGCTTCTGGCCATCACTGCATTTTTCTACCTCAACACATCTCCTTCACCACCAAGTCAATTACATTTCTAGCTTGCTGTTCTAAAGGTATATGGTCAGTCTTTAGCTCTATTTTTAACCATTTTATGTTTTTTAACTTCAACTTCTGTTGGCTATCATTTCTAATATCTGATTCCCAAACACTGCCTGTGCTGGTCATACACCTAGCACAGAAAGACAAATTCGACAGGCTCTTAATACATCTGTAAGCAGTTTCTCTAGTTGAAAAAAGAGAGTTGCTAGCGAGTACCCAATTAAGACTATTAAATGTATAGATCTGCATTAATTAATTGTCCTCCCATTTCAAGTCTTTCTTGGTTTCTTCCTGATGGTCTGGCTACAGATTTTGATTGACAATGACAAGTAAGCTATGGTCTTCAGATTGGATGGCATTTATACGAAGATGAAAATAACAATGATAATAATTTTAATGGCCACAAGCCCATTTTAATTCAATACCTGTATGAATGAAGACATGTCTCTGTAAGTGATAGTTCGTTCTAAAGGCAGCATTGCAGTGCTCACAAACATGAGATTTAGGGGTTTTCAAACCAAGTGATCCATCCTCATTTATTGTAAGGATCTAGTTTAAAAAAAAAAGGCAAAAAACAAAGTTCTTAAAAGGTAAATACTACATTTTAAAAGGACAATATAAGCAACGGTCACTAGAGGTTGTAAAAAAATTTTCAGAAATAATCTGGAAAAGGTTATTAAGACAGTGGTACCTTTAAAGTAGTAAAGTACAATATGACTTAGATTGGGTAAAGTCTGTAGTAAAAACCTTGGAAGCACTGTGCCACCTCCCCTGTAATGCTAATGGCTACCAGAGTCCCTAAGTGCTCCCATAAAGGGCTGCTAGAGTAAGCACAGTTTCAATTTCACATTCTCATATATGCAGGGAGAAAAGTCAGGTATCAATCAGTGAGAACAGCTGACGTACAGAAAACCAATTTAACTTAATTTTATGTTACTATAAATAAATTGAGAAATTCTATCTACATAAAAGAAAAAAACATCAGCATGTGTTCAACTCAAAAAAGTTCAGAACCCAGTATATAATTTTTCAATATAAAAGGACGATAGATAGATAGATAGATAGATAGATAGATGATAGATAGATAGACAGACAGACAGAGTCTATCAATCTCGATATATAGTATCCTTTGTGTATATGTGGATATAAATACATATCCATATATATATATAAATATACTTTTATTTATATATGTTTAACAACTACTTTAAAAGGATTCATACCTTGACTGAGATGGATGAGGAAATAAAAGGTGTACATATATTTTACAGACTGAAAATTTCTTTTTAGTCACAGAAGAGTTTACTGTTATTTTCTTATATTTTAAAAAAGAGAAAATTCAGTTTTCCAGTAATCACATAGAGTCTGGATTTTTGTCTCAGTCTAGGATCTATACGGATACTATAGAACTATCACTGCTAAACATGTCCTAAAAATATTTGTCAGAAATATAAATAAACGTAAGAAAGGGAAAGGAAGATGGGAGAAAAGAAACCACCTCTTCTATCCCAAGTGTCTTGTAATTAGGAACATTGTGAATAAGGTCTGGACAGTTAGCAGTGTAAGCTCACCTCTAACCTCATGAATTCTAACTTACCAACAACTTACTCAGCATGCAACATTTACCACCTCCTGTCAGACACACGATCCCTTTCAACATTACCAAGAAGAGAAGAAAAGATGACAAAAGCTGATGTGAAGAAGCACAGAAAACTCTAGTAGGACGTCAGGTGTAATAGAGATCAGGAGTCTGGAGCAGGAGGACGGAGAGTCCAAGGGCAGCCTGAGTTACACAGCAAGAACTTGAAGCCAAGGAGAGGGAAAGCAGGATCAGAGCAACAGGCATCTAGCCAGGAAGTGGGAAACAACTTGAGGCGAAAAGCATATAGAAAGTAAGCTGAGAAAGGTGTCACACTAACCCAGCACTCAAGAGGCAGAGGCAGGTGGATCTCTGTGTGGCCAAGGCCAGCCTGGTCTACACTCAGAGTTCTAGGACAGCCAGAGAGATGGAGACCCTATCTCAACACCCACAGACACACACTCACATGCACATGCACGCACACACACAAACACACACACACACACACAGAGAGACAGAGAGACAGAGAGAGAGAGAGAGAACACCGAGGGACTGACGAACATAAGATCTACAGAGGACCATGGGAAGTGACTCGGGCCTATAAACCATAGCTTCTTCAACCTAGAAAAGACAAGTAGGAGAGGACAAATAGCTTTAATCTTTAGTGTATCTTTTTACTTTAAATTCAGGAAGACAGTTCAGCCTATACTGAATGCAAATCAATGATAATTAGTATGCAAATTATACAGGGTTTTTGAGTTCTGGGCAAATTGCCAACATGGTCAACAATGCTTTAAGTCTATGCACTCAAGACATAGAAGGGACACATTTGGCAGGAGAATGGAAGTGGGTGTCACAGCTTCCTGAATAGTCAGGGAGAATAAAAGTTTGATTTCTGGCCAGTCAAGTTTAAATTTTTTTTTTTACTTCCTCCAAGTCACATAATAATAATGCAAGTTAACACTGTATAAAAAGAAAATACACAAACCCTCTTAAAATAGAATTCAAAATATGCAAAACAGAACTATGCTAAGTGTTATATATCATAAGTAAGACAATAATATCAGGCTTTCCTCTTTTCATACACGTGTTGATAAAAATGAGTGCCAAAAGCCATGGCAGTTCACTGGCTTTCTGTGGCACAGCAACAGCAAAGAAAGGTTTTGTCAGGCTTAGCTGTGAAGCGGATGTAATCCCTGACTGGACAACGCCCTTTATAGACAGTTATTATCTACTGTACTGGAAGTCGTGCTGTCTTCATTCAGGTCTTCATAAAAGGTAGAATTATGTGGATGAGACAGCTACTACTTATCTTATGGACAAACGTAAGATCCAGCGTATTTATAAGTTCAAGCAGAAATATCAAGTTCTTAAAATTTTTAAATTTAATTTCTTTTCCTCTGTTAGGACAGTATATTTTTGTTTACAGGACAAAGTAAAATCCATCTTGCCACAAACAACCATCAGCAGCTTTTCCAGTTTGCAATCTGTTTGCAATGCACCCACATGAACTCACTTACGTCATCCTTTGCTCTAACTCCAATGTCCAAACTTGGGAGTCTGGGGCACAGTGGGGATTGTGCGCCTAAACCTGAGACAGCTGCCTGCTCTCCATACCCCCACAACTTACCACTTAAACAAAAAGGCTTTGCTAAAAATGTACTTATGCTCCCTCTTTTGGCCTTTGGCTCCCCCATGGACTAGGTACCACGGAGAGGTAAGCATTCTAAGACAAAGCTCAGGCATGGCAGCTGCAGCATGGTAATTCTGGCCAAACTGTCTTCTTCGGCACTTGACTTATTCTCATTTATAGCCTTTAGGATCTTCTCAAATAATGATCTACTGGTTTGAGACATTCGCTCTAAGGATTAGCTGCCTTACTTGCTGTTAATACCAAAACATACTTTTGCTTTGCTTTTCCTCCTACTCAACAGACGATCACCATTACAGCAGAAAGGGCTGCAGATCCATCTTTAGGACGTGGAAGACAGCATTTTTTTAGTTTTGATTCGGGATTCTGTTTTGAAGAAAGACTCTGGCTCTGCAGGCCAGAATGTTCATGGTCCCCAAAACTACAATTACAGGTGTGCTCCTCCAAGCCCAACTCTGACAGGAGCAGCTCTGGGATCTTTCGCTTCCTCTTGCCCTACTACTTCAGCAGAAACAGCACATTTTAAAGACCCAACAATCAAGATCTCCTATTGCCAAGCTAACAAATTAGCAATAATTTAAATATTCAACTCGATTTATATTTGATTAATCATGTTAAATTAAAATTTTACAGAAAGAAAAACTGGCATCAAATGGAATTCCCTAGCTATTCCATATCACTAATCTCATAGTTCGTTATGTATTTTTTTGGTTTGAGACAAATTTGTTCCTAGCTAGTGTCACATATATAGTTTTACTTTACACACACACACACACACACACACACACACACAGAGCTGGAGAGGTATCAGGAATGAGATGAGAAGGGCTCTCTTAACACATGTCTTTTTATCAAGTAAAGGCCTAAATTCTGCTTATTCAATTGAAAGAATTCACTCCAGGATCAGTAACACTCCTCCATTAGAAAAGGTTCTTCTCAAAAGACAAACACAGCTGTTCTCATTCTGTGTGTATACTACTAAAATTATCCATGATATTTTAATCTAATAGTCTACGGATGTTATAATACCTTCCAACACTAACTGATATCAACATTTAAGCCACTCAAACCAAACAGAATTTAGAGGAGATGATTTAAAACAATGTTTTTCAACCTGTGGGTCATGATCTCTTTGGGGGTAAAATGACCCTTTACAGGGGTCACATATCCTGCATATCAGGTATCTGCACTGCAATTCATAACAGTAGAAAAATTACAGTTATGAAATATTAATAAATAATTTTATGGTTGGAGTCACCACACATGAGGAACTGTATTAAAGGGTCGCAGGATTAGGAAGGTTGAGAACCGCTGATTTAAATCTCACCAGTCAGTTATGAGAGGTTTTGGTTACAACGGAAGGTGAGAGAAGGACTTTAAAGATTTTCTTCCTTCTCCAAAGAACCAACCCCAAAGGCATAGCAAGGTCAAACAGAGTAAGAGTCATGTGACCATACTAGTCGGAGCTAGTCCCACACATTCACAATCTCTTCAGTCTGTATGCTACATTTTACTTATTAGCAAATTTCATTTTTAAGTAAACAAGCTTTAACAGTGGCAGAATATGAAACTCACTGTTTCAAAAGAATGGAGCACAACTCATATTCAGTATACTGGCCTGAGGGTTTAAAGGTGAATGCAGTGTATGTGTTCGCACTGGAGTGTACATATACATGTGACCCTCGCAGACACACAGAGGTCAAAGAACAACTAGCAGGTAGCAGTTTTCTCCTTCTACCATGTGGGTCCTGAATCAAACTCAAGAAGTCAGAGTTGTTGGCAAGTGCCTTTAACCACTGAGCCATCTCATTAGCCTGTGACTGTTAGTTTTAGAAAAGTCCTAACTTGTTTCCTAAATTTAAAAACGTGATAGTTTCTAAAAAATGATTTTTCACCTGGCAGTGGTGGCGCACGCCTTTAGTCCCAGCACTTGGGAGGCAGAGGCAGGCGGATTTCTGAGTTCGAGGCCAGCCTGGTCTACAGAGTGAGTTCCAGGACAGCCAGGGCTATAGAGAGAAACCCTGTCTCAAAAAACCAAAACCAACCAACCAAACAAACAAACAAATACATGTATATGATTTTTCTCAGCATCAGAATCTTTTTAAAGGTCCAGTTCTATAGAAAACAATTTCCCCATAATGCAGTCAAACTCTGGGAAAAGCAGATTAATGAATTACTAGTATGCTATTTTTCTAATTTTCTACTTTCTTCCTTCATGTTCTCATTAGCATTATGTTTGATTTCCTATTTTCAATCATCTTTAGTCTTATAATCAGTTCATCTTCAAAGATAGTTCTTCCAAAAACCAAGGGAGCATGG